ATTATAACAAATATATATTTATTATACTAAATATATATTTGTTATGACTGAGTGAACGCTTACGAAGCATTCACTCGAGTGTGATCCGTTTTTCTTCTGTACGTTTTTCAGCATCTTGTTCCACAGTTTTCAGCTGTTTCTACAAATCGTGAATCAAAACGTTCGGCTCTTTCAGGACAGTCCTGCTCTGACTTTTGGTGCAGCTTTAGCTGTTTGAAATATTTTAGCCTTTTCTGACATCTTTTCCTCATATAAAATGAATCCAGCTCATTTTCCATCCTTCAGATCTTTAGATGTGTTTACAGCCTTTTACAGCTTCTTTCACTTTTTGTTCTGCTTCAGCTGCTTTCGGCTTCTTTCGGCTTCTTTCAGCTTCCTGCTGCAAATTTAAACTTTTTTCAGCTACTTTCAGCTGTTTTGTGCTCCTTTCACATTCTTTCTGCTAACTGCAACATTTTTGTTACTCTAACTTCTTTCTGCAAGTTTCAGCTTTTCCCACTGTTTTAGCTACTATTTAGCTGTTTTTATACTAATTTTATTTTTTTCAACTAATTGCACATTTTTTGCGCTCATTTCAACTTTTTTCAGCCTAATTCAGCAAAAATGTGCTCTCTACCCTTCCTTCGGGTAATTTAAGCTTTTCTGCTTTTTTCAGATAATTCCCAGCCGAAGTGGGCAGACATGTTTTTCTGTTTCTTCTGCAAATTTAAACTTGTTCTACCTTTTCAGCTAACTTTAAATCATTGTTTAGCTAATTTCAGCTGTTTTCATACATTCAATTCAGTTTTTCATGGTAATTTCTGCTACTTTCAGCCTAATTAACTTATTTCTGCTAATTTCAGCTTATGCTCCTTTCAGTTATTTCAGCTACTATTTAGCTGTTTTTATACTAATTTTAGTTTTTTCAACTAATTGCACATTTTTTGCGCTCATTTCAACTTTTTTCAGCCTAATTAATCAAAAATGTGCTCTCTCCGCTTCCTTGTGGTAATTTAAGCTTCTTTCAGATTTTGTAGCTATTTTCAGCTGTTTTTTGCAAATTTAAACTTTTTTAGCTATTTTCCTAATTTTTGTGCTAATTTAAACGTAATGCAGCAAACGTGCTCTTTCTGCTTTCTTCTGCTAATTTAAGCTTGTTCTTCCATTTCGGCTACATTTCAGCATGTTTTAGCTGCTTTTTTCCAGCGAGTTGTTCAGCAATAAACATTCACGCTGCATTTTCTCTAGTTAAAGTATTTTTAATTTGTTTAAAACTCCAAAATCAGACTCTTGGGCACAGAGAGTAATAATCTTCCACATCAGTGTTTTTGACGTTTTCATTATTAAAAGTGTAAAAATAGAACAGGATCACTTTGAGAGGTTAATTTTAAACTTGGTAAACAACATTTTGCTCCTCTGCTTGATTTCCTTTTTTTCCGACAGTCTCGTACTCTGATGGGCGGCCGCTCGGAGAGGAACGAGTTCCTGCTGCTTCACGCCTTCCACGACAAAAACTACTTGGTCCCGGACAAACCGTCCTTCAGGAAGGCCCAGCTGGAGAGCGTAAGGCCGCACGTGCAGCCGCCTGAACGCTCGCTCCACTCCTGATCCTTGTTGTGCTGCTTCCAGGTGGAGGGAGAAGACGAGGCGGATGCAGGGAAAGGCAGGAGGAAGAAAAAGGCTGCGTACGCTGGAGGTCTGGTCCTCGATCCTAAAGTTGGTAAGTCCGGCGCGTCTTCAAAACATCGTTTGTTACGCAGCGACTGTTTTCTCACTTCGGCTCTGCTCTTCAGGTTTCTACGATCGGTTCGTGCTGCTGCTCGACTTCAACAGCTTGTACCCCTCCATCATCCAGGAGTTCAACATTTGCTTCACCACCGTCCACAGGGAGGCTCAGACCAAGAACAAGGTGCCTAGGCCTGTCACGATCATCAATAAATCGATTAATCCCATGATGAATGAAAATGATCAACCTCGTGTTCATTTATCGGCTTCGTCGTTTCTTCGTGTCTCTCTTTCTACTGAAGACTCTGGACGACAAAAGGATCAACTCCGGTTCTTCACTGACCCCTCCCTTCCTCTTTAAAATCTGTTTTAACGTCCAAAATCACCTTTTTGGATCGTTCAAAGCAGCTAAACTGAGAAGCTAAGCTACGAGCTAAGCTAACAGGCCGACCTCGGTGGGGGGGGAACAAACCCTCCGTCTTGTCGAAGCTCCAAAACTCACGGTTGAAACTCGTGCCTTCGTGTAAAAAGTTTTTTTCTGCAAAAACAAGCCGAGAACTTGTTTACTGATTTTTATTAAAAGCTTTGTGTGAAAGATGCTAAAGAGCTCAAACCACACCGAGCGTCCGCCATTTTGAGAACCGTAGAGAGACAGCCCATGTCACGTCAAGGGGCCTCCCTCACATTTATCTTAGAGACACGCTGCTCGCTCCCTCTCTATCCATCCTTCAGTTCAGTCTTATACTGCCATCCAGTGGTCAAAAAAGGTACTACATACAAAAATTAACCAACATTTCTTCTTAATTTTGACAATATTTACTAATTATTGTCAAATTTCAAACAATATTATCGTTTATCGCAATAATTTCCGAGACAATTAATCGCCCAGTAAAAGTTGTTATTGTGACAGGCCTAGTTGGAGCACTCCTGTTCCCTGGTGATGTACGTCT